AGGAATGAGTCATCTTATGTCCTTACCCAATTCTGCCAATTGACTTAGAGACAATGGGCAAAATTCCTCCTTTGTTTATATTTCTTGCATGTTATATGTAAGTATTGTATGATAAAGTGTAATGTGCCAGCTGGCCACATATTAAAATTATTGGTGGATATTTCTGTACCACAAAGAAATTGCTATTTCACCTAGCAATTTCTTTCTGGTTCATCTGCTATTTTTATCTTGGGATAAACTGATATAACTTCTAGCATGTTAAGATGTGTCATGAGATATTCAGGTATGGTGCATAATAAAATGTAGTGCCTACCAATGGTTGTACAAAAAACATGCACAAAGACTGATAGGCCTCTAATTCTAGTAGCTAGTTTAGAGGGCTGCGTGTTTGACTTGGAAATATCTAGTAGAACCCTCTGCCGAGACAAAGTTGTTCTGGACTTAATACTGGACTAATTAGGAGGGTATTAAAGTATTCATCCTGTTTTACCAGCACCTGAGATATGGAATGTGCTGAATGATTATGCTACACTCTAATGAAACAAACAGCAGATAGAGACCAGATCTCTCAGTATTACAGAAGGCACCAAATGCGGCAATATAAATGATTAACTTCATACCTCACCCTGCATGAATTCATGTTTCCTTGGAAACTCTTAGTTTTCCAGTCCAAAGAGGAGGGACAGACCCAGATTGATTTAAATAGTTATATAGACTTTTAAATGATCAGGGATAAAATGGCTGATAATGCTGTGGATGTGCAAGCTGTGTATAAATGCAGTCTTTCTGGTATCCTTTCCTTCTTCTAAGACAGTGATTTTCAACCTGTGGTCCACGGACATCTGGGGGTCTGTAGACTATGTCTAGGGGGTCTGCAAAAGATGACTTGTGATCAATCAAAAAGCATGTGAATGCCTAGACTTACAATTCAAAGGGGTTCACAGCTCCATTCTAAATTTTCAAAGGGGCCCATAAATGAAAAGAGATTGAAAACTGCTGCTCTAAAATGCCTGATAATCTGGGATTTTTTTTTTTTTTTTTTTTTTAAATGCATGCATATTGAGGAGGATTCAGAGCTTGATTCTACTCAAAACTGCACCAATGCAACTTATAACTAGCTGCAAGGAAGTCAGTGGAGTTACGCCAATATAAAACAATGATAACGTGAGAGGTGAATCAGGCTAAGGGAGTAGCTTCATGTCTTAGAACCTGATCCAGTACCAATGAAGTCAACAGAATCAAGGTCTTAGACACTGTCTGCACTAAGATTTCTGCCACCACAGCTCACCAGTGTGATCCCTTAACATTCATGGCTCACACCATGTCTATACAGTTTCATATTGGCATTTAGGTTGCTTGCAGATGTTAAAAAACAAACAAAACTACACTTTAATGGAAGAAGCAGCCCATTACTTCAACCCAGCTCTGTAGCATCTGTATAGATTGGGCACTTCAGCGGGACTTCTTGGTCCATTTAGCTAATAGCTGATTCAAGCTGGACCAGAGAAGGGTTAACTTGACAACAATAGACATCTCTCCTTGCAGCAATGGCATCTTCCACAGAGAGCCTCAGGTCCTCCCAGCCTCCATTCTGGTGCCCCTCTTAACTGGGCTCCAGGAGGTTGTGCCCTGGTTGTCCATCCTTCATTACAGTCCTGAGGCCTGTCAACATGAAGACTTCAGCAATGGATAACAGGTTCCCTTTGACAGACCCCTAGAATAGACGCAGCTTACATCAATACAGCCATTTGCCTTTATAAACTATGGGTGCTTGGAGACAAACCTCCCCCGCTCCCCCCCCCCAGCACTTTATTTTAAATTCAAGAGGACTAAGCTCCCAATATTTCTTGATCCTTTATAGTTTCTTCTACCTTAAATAGAAAAAAAATATCATAGGACGAGGTGGACATTTCAGTTTTAACTGTACCAGGTGGACTCACCACCGTGGCTGACAATGGAAGATCTGTGGGAACACCCTAATTTCATTAAGGAAAATTTCAGGGAGATACTCAAAGCAGTAGAAGTTCTGTGTTCTGTATAGGTCTTCCCACAGAGTTCCCTCATGACTCCAAGCAAAGGGCCTAGGGACTGTCACAATGCAGGGGGCAGGAGTGCCTTAGCAGGGCCAAGCTAAAGAACCAGGCACCAAGGAGTATAATCAGTGAGGAAGAGTGGGAGAAGATTTTTGTGTTGAACTCTATTAATTTACCAACCTTTCCAAATGGCAGAATTACTGAGGAAACACCTGCAGCATGGAGGCTGTTTAGCTGCAAGAGAAGGAGAAGCTGATTCTATGGCAGGACCTGCAGTCAGTCTGGGAAAATTCTATTATTTGGTCTCATGACATCTCTCTGTATTTGAGCAACCCCACAGTTTAAGGGAAAATTTGCATCAAATGCAAACCTTCACACAGGCTTATCTGTAGATCTAAAATAAAAAGTACCACAGGCCATCAGAAGCAGGTAGTCTTTGAGACCTGCTATCATGGGGCTTCAGCAAGATAATAAGCAACTTCACAGAGATGATGAACCTTTGAATTTTGTCAAGGGGTGTATGTGTATTACTCATATTTTTAGTGATACATCACACAACAGGTAAACAAGTGCTATATCAGCTAACACATATTTAAAGAAATAGTGTCACTATTACCATGCTATTCTATCCCCAGAAGATTTGAGTTCTAGTGTCTGTACCAATTAAATGAGGGACTGAAAGCTCTAAGGATGGTCATGGTAGAAAACTTTTTCAGTTACTATAAATATTGGCAACCTCTGATGTCTGCAGGCCCAAATCAGGTTAATAATGGTTGTGCAATACAACATGAAACAAATGTAGATATCAAACAGCAATTTCTTAGTTAACACTCTTACCCTTCTCCTTCAGTCATGCTTTTGAGCAAAGTGATCTCACTTTGCAAGGAAAGATTTTTCTCCTGAACAGCATTCAGTGCTTTCATCTTAGCTACAAGAAGATCTTGCAGTTCCTAAGAAGTCATACAGGATCAGGTGATTACTAGTTTTGAAAATTTTATTTTGTACAGGTTAGGCTACAATATTCCTCAAATGATGTGTCTTAATAGATTAAGCCCTTATATTCAACCTGTCATGCTAATGGGAACTGAAAATGCTTTACAAACATAGCTACCTGAGACCAAGTTTATATATTGAACATAAAGACTTCTGCCCACAACTGAAATGCAGTGGTTAAAAATAGAACAGTTCATTTGTTCAGCAAGCCTTCACATTCAGCTATTCACAGTCTCACAGGCATTTGTGTTCATTAGTGAGGCTCTATTTAATCTTGCCTTTTAAGTAATAACAGGATCATTTTTTACTCAATAACAGCTGTAGTTAAATGGTGCAAGAAAGGTAAACGTATCTCATGTGTCAGAGTATAAGTGGATTGTGCACAGGTCAGAAAGGAAGTTTTTATCTATAGGGGTCAAAAAAAACCCATGGGAAAAAAAAAAAAAAACTGGAACACTGCATGCAGCCACAAAGCAGAGCTGGGCCACCCGGAGCTGTGCTGCAGCTGCAGCTGCTGGCTGGGCTCAGCCTAGCAGGAGCACTGCAGCTGCAGTCCCGGAGGCCCCCAGAACCACAGGTAAGGCTGCTGGGGCCAGCACAGTGCCCTGGATGGGGCTGTAGTATCCAGCAGGGGGGAGCCCTCTGCTGTCACAGGTCTCCAGGGGGTGGGCAAGTGGGTCCCATCCAGGACCCCAGTGCACTGAAGGAATCCCAGGGCATGGAATCCACCACCACCTCAGTTTGCTGTTAGGAGCAGGAAAAATGCTCGCATGTCTCTTCACATGTAGGCGCCTGCCCAGGAACATTTACACCTGCCCAGGAATGAATAGTTTACTCACAAGTAAACTGGTTCCTCCTCAAATGCATGTGTAGATACACCTAGGATTGTTCTCAGAGCTGACTGAAGAATGAGTAATACATACATGTGCATGCATGCTCACAGGCATATCATCCACACATGCTTTTACTGATGTTCAGTTCAGGTTAATTGAACATTGATAGAGTGTTCTGTTCAGTTAACAATTCCAGATACGTTGGCATTCATTCATTTGCATGGTGACAATTCATCTCCTCACCTAGCTGCCTGCTAAGCAGCTGACTGCTCTTTTTAGCAGATTGTTCCCTCTGATCAATCTATGGTTGACTGTATATTCCAAACACCAATCATTCCAGTTGACCTTTTGGTTAAAATATTCAAATTCTAATTTTCTGCTCATAGCTTGGTGAGTTTTAACTTCTCATTTACCTAGAGCACTCAGTGCATAATTTCCACGTGAGTATGGAGAACATTCATGTAGGAGGAATTTTCATTAGTAGTACTATAAATAGTAGTAACAACATAAGTAAGTAGTAATAGCATAAATAAATAAAGTCAGAATTTAACATTGAAAGAAGTTTCATTTTTAAAGTACCACTATCCCTCTTGCTCGGATTTGTAACATGGAGATCATCTTTGACTCTTCCCTATCCTGTGCCCCACACTTCCAAGCCTTTGTCCAGTTCTTTCCACTTCTTCCTCTATAACATTTCAAAGGTCTGATATTTTATTTCAGTCTATGCTGCCAAAGTGTTTGTTCAGGTCCTTATCATTCTAGTTTTTGATGGTTGTAATATAATTCTTTCTTGGACTGCTTGACACCAATACCCATCCCATCCAACCCAAGAAAATGCTGCCGCTTATATCAGCTTCTTTGCTCATCACTCTGGCCATGTACCTTCCACTGGGTTCTCCTATTTCAGTCACTTTGTCCTCATCTTCCTGACCTTCAGAACTCAGCCTCAACATACAATAGTTGGAGCATCAAAGTATTTCAGCCTCAAGCTTTTGTTTGTTTCTCCTACAACTATCTTTCTATCTTGCTCCATGAGACCCCTTAGACTTAGAAGGCCCTCTGTGAACTACAATGCAAGTACAGTCTCCTCCTTTAGAGATTCAGCAGGGGATGGTAAATATTTTTATATAATGATTAAAAAGCAATGGTATGCTTTATCCATCTCTTATCCCTTCATTTATTTCTACCTTCTCAGATTGTCATGTATTTGGGACAGGTATGATATCTTCTTATGTATGCAGGAAGTGCCAAGCATGTAATTGACATAATTGAAAATAAACAAACAGACAAACAAATACATCATGTTATTAATAAAAGTCCCCACCCAGCACTTGAGGTGAAATACAAAACACAAGTCCTTACAAACCCACAGAGCAGTGGCTCCCCACCCTATTAAACTCAAGGCATCCCTCAGAAAATGCCCTTTTTTAGCTTTCAATTGTTTCTTGACTACAGAAAAATAATAGAGCAATTGTTCTGTTGCAAAGAACTTAGAAAGACCACAACAGGTCAGAATGTTTGTTATACTACGGATTCCTATCCGAAATCCCTGGATTTGTCTTGTGAATTACATGTAGGGGTGGTTCACAAGAGCAGTGGTTCTCAACCTGAGGCCCGCGGGCCACACACAGCCCAATCAGCATACTACTGTGGCCCTTGTGACATCCTGTTAAAAAAAAGTAAAGACATTTGATGCTGTAGAAGTGAGAAGTATTAGTATCAGATAACAGTTACAAAATATTTTTAAATAGATACACAGGAAGTAAGTTGTGTGGCTATGGCCCACATAACACATTGAGAGCTACAAGTGTGGCCCACTATGGCAAATAGGTTGAGAACCACTGCCAAAGCTCAAATATGAGCTAGCTCAAAATGACACCTCCACACACTAACATTTCTCCCTGTGCTACCCACTCCAGAACCCTAATCAATACCCAAAGGCAAAGCAAAGAAAATTAGACCAGGCCTAATCTAAGCCACAGAAGTGATGTCAGGCCCCTCAGCTGATCGCCGTTATACTGAAATCACATACAGACAGATGCTGATCAAAGCCAGTTGAAATCAATAGGAAGATTTCCATTGACTTTAGTGAGCATTGGATGACCTGGGTATGTCTTAGGTATTCAGGCAGTGTTAAGAGTGATGTTATAGCTGTGATGGTCCCAGAATTACATGAGACAAGGATTTTTTGAGTGGTATCTTCTATTTGATCTAAAAAAAAAAAAAAAAAAAAAAAAAAAAATGCTTTGAATTTGAAAGCTTTTCTAACTTTATCCCAAAAAATGCAGTTTATTTAATAAAAGATACCGCCCCAAGATATCCTTGACTCTTAGGGAGCGTCCAGACAAGTGTGCACATGCCTCTTGCCCTGCCTCAAGCCCCTTTGAGGCGGGGCAAGAGGCACGTGCAGGAATGAAAAAATGTTCCCCGCGCTGCAAGTTTGTAAATATACCAGTAAAGCATTACCCAACTGATCGCTCTTTCTCCGTGTGTGTGTGTGTGTGTGTGTGTGTGTGTGTGTGTGTGTGTGTGTGTGTGTGTGGTGGTCTTTTGTTTTAATTGTGGAAGAACACGGATTTTGGGGTATTTTTAAAAATGGATTTGGGATGCTGCTGCAGCAGCAGTCCAGCGGGCACAAGGGGTAGTGTCCCCAGGTATCACTTGGGTGGGCCCTAGAAGCTCCTAAAAGCAAGTAGCCCTGAGCTGCTTGCCAGGGCAGCTTTTTGTATGGATGGGGCCAGGCCAGGACAGGGCAGCTTTTTATACTGCTGGGGACAGCACAGGTGCTGGCCCCAGGCTCTAGCTCCCCCTGCAGATCTGGGAGGAGCCAGGCAGGGTTATTTTGCCCCACATGGCACAATTTGCTCCACAACAAAGTGCATGTCTGAGCACGTGCACTGAGGCAAAAAGCCCTGGCTCAAATTTGAATTGCTTCTATTTGAGCCGCTGCAAGCACACGTGCTTGCATGTGTGGACGTACCCTTAGGTATTCAGCTGTCCCTAAACACTGAAATAATGCTGAGTATATCATTTGTGCTAAAGGCATGCAGCAGTTTGACTACTAATTGGAAACTTTTTTGTCAGGGAAAGTATACATTGTCAGGGAGTGGGAATTCACTTGGAAAAAAGTTATTCTAGTAAACATTTTGTTTCCATTATGTGCTTCTGAAGTAAATTAAATACTAAGTAAAATTTAACAGAGATTTTAAAGCAGTGGATTTCCTTTGAATAATTAGCCTCTCAGGAATAGCATTCTTCTGACAATCAAAGAATCGCAGCATGCAGAAATAGAACATAGTTTGCTTATGGAAACAAATTAGTGCCTCCACAGTTAAAGATATATCTAGGCTTCCATTGTAGGCCTGGTTTTCCCCTGACTTTAAACACATTTCATCTCATGCCTGGATAGAGATTTTTCAGGACATAGAAGGCAAATTAGACAATGTATTTAAGGGACATGTAAATTTTAGGTACAAAAATGTAAGATTTATTTAAAAATATATATTTAAAAGCATCTGGAATGAGAAATTCTGATGCCTTTGTTGGGCGTTTAACCATCAGGGATGCTCAAGCCCCAGCCTCTGGGGATAGAAGGTTGGGCACTACTGCCTTTGATTATTTTCAGGAAATCCATAATTAGATATTTTGAGACCATATCCCCCATCCTGCTCTGTCCCTTTTGCATCATGCCAACAATGTGCGAGACACCAAAAAACTGCTTAAACAGCCACCTAAGGATTCCTCCTTAAAAAGGAAATTCTCAGGTGGTTTGCAGCTGGTTCTACACCAGAATAGTCTGTAGCCGTCTTCACATATGGAGGTGCACAACAGTGGCCTGGGGAGGTCCTGCACTTGGCAAACCTAAGTATGGCTGGCTCTCAGAATCCCTTGACATGACTTTTTTGAATTTCTAAATGTCCCCATAGTTCCCATCAGATATTTTACTCCATAATACTTCAGTCCTCACATTTTCAATGAGGATGCTTTATTTCTGCAGCTGTCTGGTGCAATGCACTAGACATTCTATATCAGCTTCAGTTTAATAATTGTGATTTTTGATTACCATAATGGTGACAGTGGATAATCTTCACACTGTTCCTTGTGTCACATATCAGCCTTTGACT